GGCACTTCGAGAGAGGCATACTTTACGCCACCCAAGTTGCAGGGACAGAACTAACCCTAACCCCCCAGGTACCTGCTACATAGGGTACTAGAGCCCCTAGGGCCCTATATAGTAGGTACCTGGGGGGTTAGGGTAAGTCATCATCCTGTGTGGCCCCGGAGGCTATGCTCAGAAAAGCAAGCTCAGAGATCCGCGGAACAGGGCTGGGCGCTTGCACATGGTGGCTCAGAAGCCGTGGATATTCTGTTAGAACTGCAATCCCAGGGCTTACTTAACGAGTCATGTAGGGGCCTTAATAATTAGAGTAGGGTTTTGGGGCCCATTATACTATATTTATATAGGTAATTATTTAGGCCCCTATATTAAGGGAGTAGGGCAGGGATCTCTCATGGAATCAGGAAAGCTTGGGATTTCTTCGGCACGGTCCGGATCTGAAAAACCGACGCTTGAGCCAGGCGAAGAGAGCGGGCACTGACTACAACCAGTTTCAGAGTCGCAGATACTGAAGCCGACACTGAAAGCTGGAAACTTTCGGGTTTTTCGGTGTGCAGATGCTGGGTGTAGGGTTTCGGGTTTAGGGTGCCGGAGCTTCGGAAGGTTTGTGGGTGTGGCATTGGATCTCAGCCACCAAGCTGGGACATGCCTAAGTCGAATTTGAACCCTGAAGCCCCCAAACACCCCTCGAGCCTTAACCCGACCTGATGCACGAAAATGCCTGAAGGGTCTGCCCGAGACCCCAAAAGCTACACCCCAGACCGAAACCTAAACTTACATCGAAGGCCGATGGTTCACGGGTGCTGCACGACGACTTCTTTCCGTCCGCTGTTTTGGCTTGTTGGTTGGGGCACAACCCTATGTAGGGGCCATTACTCTGTACTCACAATAAGGACAGGAGTCCCTCAAACGACTAGAATCCCTCATCCAACCATACTAAACCCGACCCCTCCGTGATACATGACCGACCCTAGCCTAGCCTGAAATTTCCAAGCTAAAGCTTCGCGGCCTTGATGCTTGCGTTACAGATCCCCCTCGCTACGCCTCCGGCGGTGTATAGTGTCAGGACGAGGTGTTTTAGACATGTATAACTAGAGATCTTGGATACTGGTCCCTGTTGGGGCTAACTTAAAAATCATCATTTTTAATCCTTATTGGGTTTTATAATAACAAGAATGTAAAACTGTATCCAACAGGGACCCAGGATAGGCATGAGGGCTCGTAAAGCAGTGCAAGAGCTGCCATACCTCCAGTGCCGACAAACCTTGAGCGTGGATTTTCGAGTTTTAGAGGCTTTCGGGTATTGCAAACCGGTAATTGCGGGTATAAGTGGACGAAGAGCCTATTAACTGCCATCTGTCTTGAGCCTCAGCAGGTGCGGCATGCGCCCAGGAATCGCGCCAAAGCCTCTCAAAGGCCTCCGACATGTCTTCTCCGCTTCCTTGAAACCCTGGCTTTTTCTGCGCTATGTTCATTCATTCTATGTTTTGTGCAAGTATACGTGCTATGCTCAGGGGATGCTGTAGGTAGGTCTTTAGGGTTTATGGGTTTAGGGACTTGTGGGGCTTCATTGTCTTCAGAGAATTATGGGGTCTCGACTACATTTGCGGCACAGAGGCTTCCCTAAACCCTAAACCGCTTTAGGCTGTCGTACACTCTTCGAAGCCACGGCGCAGCAGACAAAGAGAGTGCAAAAGCAAGAACTGGCCAGGCGATCTTATAATACCAGATTTTAGGGTTTAGGGTACGACCTTTCGGACTCCGGCCGATTGAAGAAAATCCCAGCAAAGGCTTCCTGCGCCAACTTTGCTTGCACCTGGGTAACTCCGAGAAGTGTAGACCACAATTCCGCAGCGCTGGATAAAGACCGTGGTGAGTCTCCCTCCCTCTCTCTCTCTCTCTCTCTCTCTCTCTCCCTGCTATAATCGTGTGTTCGCGTGTAAGACTCGAGGATCTCTCTCAAGCGCTTGTGCATGATTCGGAAAACCACAGCAGCCCCGGGGTCGAATTGCAAGTGCGCTGTGGGCGATTTTCCTTGGCCTCCCAGCGCTGAACACCATCGTGGACTGCGAGCATCTCAACCTCTAAACTTTAAACAACTTATGGAGAACTCGTATACAAGCCTATGAACACTTCTTCTACCTCTTAATTAATGCCCCTGTAGTAAGTAAGGGCCTTCCTGAGCTCGGCAAGGGCGATGTAGCGGCGGCATTCACGCAGGAGAAGCTGGCAAGACGCTTCGCATGTAAGGTGTAGGGTTTAGGAGTTGGGGGTTACAGCTTCAAGGTTTCAGGATTGGGAGTGTTTCATGAACTTACTAGCTTTCTGAAGCCCAAACTTTCGAAAATCCGCACAACACCAAACCCAAACCCTTGCCTCCAGTCCTCTCTGAGGCTGAAACTCTCAGCCCACTGGTCAAGGACTGTACCCGTACTTGACAACTCGAAGCCTGAAATGACACAAGTCATGATAGAGTGTACTATACCCTTCAGACTTGGCTTGAAGGATCAATCCCGGAAGACTGTCTGAGTCTGTACATCCAAGAAGATTACTGAGTGCGCGATACCCCAAACTCATCAGCTTCTCCATTGTTTTGCAAGTGTAGAGGCTCTTGTAATTGCGCAAGCCCGACGGTGAAGGGCTCCACTGACTGAGACTCGCTACTAAGGGCTTCGGGTGTGGATCATATTACTTTTTGCTGCCAGAACCCTCCTTTTGGTGTAGGATCCCGACCAATTCCATATTAGGGCGTATGATAAGCGCCGACAAACATGTAGGCTATGGTAGTTGCGGGTAATTATACCTGCAACTCTCTTTGCCTACAGTTTAGCAGCCATTACCCATTAATCAGTAAGCAGAACCCATAAAACTGTAGGTAACTAGCATCCTAGGTACATGATGCAGGATCTGCGCGAAGTCTGCGACTTGTGGAATCGTCCTCCCATGCTCCGTCTTGATTTGAAGTCAACAAAGCCATTTTCCAGGACGACATAGAGCCATACTAAACAGTACCTGAACACCAAAGGTATGTAGAATAATCGTCCTTTCTAGGGTTTGGCCACTATTTAAGCTACTTTTGAAGATTTTTGAGGGTTTCGGTATTCCAAATTTATGTTGCAACTCGAACCTGCTGCTGGCTCAGCGCAGACCCTGTTGCCGACATGAGGCTTGAGCGCTGTGTGTACGGAGGCTGCTCCTAAGTCCCTGTTGCCGTACAGCCCTGAACTGTAAAATGCAAAGACGCAGTGTGCATCCTCCGCTGTGCTGAGTTGCTTACGCACGCCCTGGCCCCACAGCCTCAACTGGAGGAGCAAAAAACCGCAACTTAAAACGAACCCTTGCAAATCGAATGCCTGTAAGACGGATGCTTCTATACCTATGTCTTTGCAGCTCTCTAGTCGCTCGGCTGTTTCATGGCATGCAAGAAAGCACCACGATCGCAATGCCTCTGAGCCAGCACGGCAAACAATCTTGTGAGCATAATCCCGAAACCCTACAAACGCGAGGGTTAAGCGACAGCTCACGCTCAGCTGATTCATGTACACACTGCCATGGTCCATTGTCAACAGTGATAGGCCATCATTGTCCCTAAGCACAGCATAACAGCTGCTTGACGCTCTCAATTGTAAACCTTCAGTTCTGAAAAAACCCTAAGGAAAATTTGAAGTAATCACGTGCCATTCAAGCAGCAGAAGTAGACCCGTCATACTTGGTGCCACTATCGGTGCGAATAAGTTCCTGACTACTAGCCCGATCACTGCAACTGGCCAAAAGCATGTACTTATTGCAGACTTCAGACACCAACTAAGTACTACGTGTAAACTTGGAGTCTTAAGGTAAAGTACATATATATATATATATACATGTATGTATACGCCTATACATACATATATACATGTATATATGTATATACATACATTATGTATGTATATTATGACATATGCCACGGTTCATCCTTGCAACCCTACTGCGACCTCCCAAAACCCAAGCAGAAGCTCGCAACGCCGATCCGAGCTCAGGTGTGGGCTGTCCGGGAACGTCCACCTGTCGAAGCATGCCGCACTTCACATCCTGGGCAAAGAGAGGAGAGGGTCTGGGGTTCCTAAACCCTTTTTTTGCATCTGGACTTGTGCAATTAGGAACCCTAAACCCTAAACCTACGTGGGAGTTGGGCGGGATCGCGTCCCCGGTTCCATCCCACGGGCCCACGGTGCCCAATACTCTTCAAAGACGGAATGTACGTGATGGTCATACCAAGGATCCCTTTAAATGGTTTACGGGGCATGCCTTGAGGAGTACTGTGCTCTTTGGGTTCATGGCCTGTCTTGATGCGTGGGGCAACTTTGTAGAGGCTCGGGGCCTTCCTGGCCCTTTCGGCATCAGGGTTTCCAAGGCTTTACACGAAGTTAGGATATCTTCACTATGTATCCCCGTGTCGAACCGTCTTTCCAATTCCGTATTTCTTCACAAGCACCCCCTTAAACGGTAAACTACAACAGGGCCAAGCAACCGACGACCTAGGCCAGGCACTCATGAAAGCCTGTCGCATTCAGCCATATAAGTACTGCCGGGTACACATGGAACACATAAGCAAGCCCGAAACACTTAACCTTCTCCCATTGGCCAGGTGCGAAAGCTTGCTGCGCTTCATTCACATGTCAGACTTGCTTGTGAGAGTTTGGGTGTTTCGGTTGAAAGGCCATTCCTTGCATCCCGCAGTGAGTAGAAGTCTGAAGGAGTAAAACTGTCAATCCAAAATACCCCTTGACATGTAACTAGAATATACCCGCAAAACCTAGGCTGACCTAAGGGGCTTTATACTCAGAATAGGGCGGTTGGGAAACATTGTATTATATTCGTTAGGGGACATAGGGACTACAAGGGGGATATGATTGTCAATTATTCAGACCTCTATGTTTCTGGCTTTGGGCTTGGGTCCGGCAGAGAACCTTTTGTAACTCCCCCACGTGAGTCGCCAGGACTCTAGCAAGGCCCAAGTGAAAACTGCCTTGGGGGAAGCTTGCTGAAGCACTGAATCATTCCGCCTGTGAACTGTAAGCTTGCTGTGGCTTACCTCCCGTACACAACACAGCGGTTCATCGTAGAACGCTGCAGTACGAGTAGCTTGGGCCAAAAGTGGTTCATAATTGTTCATGATGGGGATGCGTACCTGTCCTTGAAGCCAAATTCAGGCATGCTCCTCCGGCCAAGGTCTTGCGCCAAGTGATCTGCTACGCATGATATTGTACTTTAGAACGTGTTATGTCAATATCACATTATATTATAGTCTAGTATGTTCTATTCGTTCTTATTCGTTCTATTGCAGTAAAGTAAAGTATACAGTACTTCTATCCAGCTCATGTCTCCATGAAGCAGGAAGCTGGCCGAATCTGGCAGCTTCAGCATCTGCCCCGCAGGCCAATCACAGCTTGCAAAGGGAAGAGCCGGGTAGGCGGGAAAAACTCCGATGGTGAGACGTGAGCTGAAGAGTGCGAACTGCAGGTCGTCACTTGGGCTATACGGTTTACGGCGTTTCGGGAGTCGGAAGTCGGGCCTCGGGTTGCCATAGGTTGCAATAGGTAGAGTTTAGGATTTAGGGCCGTTTAGGGCTTAAGGCTTAGGGTTGTAATAGCAACAGCAGGAAACCGACTAAAGATCACGGATGCAAGTGCCATGAAGAGATCGACCTCCAGAGACTCGAGCTTAGGGCGACGTCACAGACCTTCGGTCGACATCTTACGCAAGAGATGCAAGTGGCCATGGACCGGCTTGCCGCCATTCCTGGGCTGTTGTTAGAGGCTCCTTTCGTTTAGGGTCTAGGGTTTGTTCAGGGTTTAGGGTGAGTAATGTAGTGGCTTTTAGTAGTTAGAATAGGGTTTTGGGGCCCATTGTAACATAATGATAATCAGGAACCCCTAATAAAATACTACAGGTAAGTATTTAGGCCCCTACATCAGTCATTCTTCAAAAAAGACACTACTACAGTACAACAGCAGGCGAGAGTCTTTCGAAGCACCACGTTGGCGCGCTTGCAGAGTCGCAGGCCGCAGGCCTGCCACGGCTCCCAACAGCCATCTGAGGATCAGCCTTACATGGGAGTTGCAATACACTGTGCATACGCCTGAATGGTACATTGATTCATGTAAGGACCCCCAAACTACTACTTAGAAACCCTCAGGAACCGAAGACCCAATGCCTAGGCCTTGAGGTACAGAAAGCATTGTGAGAGGAAGCACCGTGGGTTTAGGGTTTAGGGCCTTCTGAAGCCCGGATCGGATCGCGAAGCAATCCTGTCGAACGTGGACGCGCGCTTGTGGAGGGGCCCGCACGCTGAACCAAAGTTTAGGGTTTAGGGTTTAGGGGTTTTAGGGTTTAGCGTACCCTAACCCCTAAACTTATTGAACGAATACCTCGAATCCAACTCAACATCCGAGCACCTTAAGATTGGAAACCTGCGACCCCAAAGCCCAAAGCCTCAGAAGCTAAAAAGCCATGAACTGTAGAGTCGACAGAGCATGAAGCCTTGATCCAAAGCCTTAAGTTTTAGGGTTGTTTGGGGTTGTTTACACTCTCACAACTCGGACAAGCCCGGCGAGTTTTCAGGGTTGATATGCCTTTGAAACCGAATCCAAAGCGTTTGAGGGTTGTACTCATACCTCCGAGCAAAGCCAAAATAGAACACACAACAAGATAACATCAACAAAGGAGACAGTAACCCCAAATTCTAACAGGCAACAAACAGCACACACCGAACGCAACAACAAACCTAGCTGCAAAGACAGCAAACCTAAAAACACATCGAACTGACTCCGCTACTAACTCCTGCAAAGAAAACCCTAAACCTTACCATCCCTTTTTGCCACAGGCTCCCTAAACCTCAACCTTACCATCCCTAAACCCTAAACCCTAAACCTTACCATCCCTAAAACCTAAACCCTAAACCTTACCATCCCTAAAACCTAAACCCTAAACCTTACCATCCCTAAAACCTAAACCCTCAACCCTAAACTCCCAATGCCTCGGCGGTAGACCGGACGTATGAGGCGGTGTGCCTAAGGGCTCATAGGGTTTTGCAGGGCTGTGAAGCTTGCCTGTTGGAGGGTAGGGGCTCAGAGGTTTAGGATTTAGGGCTTAGGGTTGGGATTTATGTATCTGAAGGGCTTCCTGAATTTTGTGTTTGGACGGTTTCGCAGCTTAGGCTATTTGGAAAAATCAGGGTTTAAGGCGATTTAAGGCTTCAGGCTTTGGGTTGGGTTCACGGCTCCGAACGGAGTTCGACGACGGTTCTGCTAAGTTTAAGGTTCATCCAACACCCTAAACCCTGAACCCTAAACCGTGGCTGTTTTTCAACGGGCCTCTGTCTTGCGTAAACCCTAAACCCTAAACCCTAAATTGAATTGGAAAGGAAAGCGTGGAGAAGAAGCTAAGCACGTTGTTGAAATGCCCTAACCCCCCAGGTACCTACTATATAGGGTACTAAGGCCCCTAGGGCCCTATATAGTAGGTACCTGGGGGGTTAGGGATGGTTTAAACGGAATATGGGTCGTTCTCTAAATTGGGGTCCCTTTTTGGGTCCTCAAGATGGTACGGCACCCTTATAAAGAGGACCCCAAAAGGGACCCCCAATTTAGGAAACTACCCATAAAGGTTTGGGTGCTTTGGCCGTTTTATACCGGCGGCGTGGCGAGAGAACGAGGGAGAGCCTTCCACAAAGAGGCTTTGACAGCTCATCGCCATAGTACGACGCAGTCGACGCGACCTTGTCGCACGATACTGGCACCTAGGGTCTCTATCCCACGGCAAACCCGAAGCCCTATAAACCCTTAAACCCTTTTCAGCATGGGCTTGGATCCCTAAACCCTGAAACCCAAACCCCTAACAAACCTTTAAACCCTAAGCCCTTCAACCTTAAACCACAACCAGCCGGATCGCATGTACCGGCCCGTCTCTGCCAGCTTGTAGCCGCCCTCCGGGACTTTGCTTTCCTTCTCCTTGGTCTTTTCAGACTTATTCTACAAAGTTCGGGTTTCGGGTTTAGGGTTTAGGGAGTTATCAGGATCCACAGGTCGATAGACATCGGTGAAGAGAAGAAGGGCTCATGCAGTACAAGCTTGGTTTTTGGAGGTATTTGGATCAGGTCTTGGTGCTTGTATTAGATACCCGGCATGGTCCAGGTTGGGGACTTGTGATGGTATTTTACATTGAATGACCGGGGCTTCTTAGCGGCTTTGGCATGGTGTGGCTCTCAGGCATGAGCAATCAAAGCTTCAAGCAGACTCCTGCCTAAGTTAAGCTGCGCGTTGATGTGTAGGGTTTCCGGATTTGAGGAGGGGCCCATGGGCCACGAAGGGCCGGATCTGAAGAGTTAGACTTAGACCTCAGCGCAAGGGTTTGGATTCAAATTCTAAGCCCTAAACTGTGGATGATTCTCTCGAGCCTTGGTTGTACTCAACAGCTGCTTCTACAGACGCTTCACAGAAAATCAAGAGCTCCTGGGCCTACCAGCAGTATCTCTCTCACAAGTTATAAGGATCACCAGAAAACAACCCGCCACCCCCGAAATGATAAGAAACCACACCAACAAAAATCTGGAACCGATCCCGAGCAATTTTTGCTGAAGTTGCATTGGCGCTGCCAGCACGAGGCGGGGCCTTGAAGTTTGTGTTGGCTTCGTAGCTGAACCTACTTATCCTCTAGAAACTGACTACCCATTCATCGTACTTTCCATCACATCAGCGGGTCCTCCTACCCTAAACCCTAAAACTCAGTATCGGATCCTGATCTGGAGCAGGGGACCCTAAACCCTGAACCCAGCATCGGACTCATTCGGGAGTTTCCGAAAATAGGGGACCTTAACATAGTAATTATCCTCGATAGCAGGATCCTTACTAGCAGGACCCCAAAAAAGAAGGTACCTCTTATTAACTTTCGGAAACTCCCATTTCGAGACGTCGACCTCGGTGGAGAAGGCGACGGCGCCATGAGCCGTCAGCGACCGCGAGGCTGCGGAGAGGGCGGGTCGCAAGTCGCCCACCTATGGTGTCTTAGGGCTTAGGGATCTTGAAGAGTGCCCGAGGTATTCAGGCCTATATGGGGTCGGGATTTTTGAGAGGGTGTTAGGGATCTCTGCAGAGAGCTCAGGAGGCATATGGGGTTTAACAAGGGTTATTGAGACTAGATTCTATGGAGTTTGTGTGGGTGGGCTTGCCGTCTCAGGGGTTAGGGTCTGTGGGGCTTGATTTAGGTATTCAAAACCTTCGGACCGTGGCACAGGCTCAAGATCTTGTTTTGGGTTCTTATGTTGGGAGCAAAGGGGTCTGGGCCTACAGGGCTTGTGCGTCTTGCAGAATCGGGATGTCGCCATCCCAAACGCTAGACTTCCGAGGCATACCATACCCCACAACATGAGCTGTAGCCAGGTCACAGCGCTTTACTGCCCCGGAAGGCACACCCGTCGTTCAGGAATCCGACTAAATAAGATGAGAAGATCATACTCTGGTTTGTAGTTTTTTTGGGGGCCCTCAAAACATATTTATGAACAGGCACCTCTATAGGAACCAAAAAGAATAGTTTTAAAGCCTCCCAAAGTGCCACCTAGTACTCGCATATTTACAGAGCATGCCAAACTCCAAGGGCTTGAAAGAGCAGTGCAGTGCTCAGGGCACCGAATCCTTTTGCAACCAAGGCTCATGTCAGCAGCTGGCTTAAGATAGGGAGCCCGTGTCTTGCAAGCATACCCTAAACCCCCAGGTACCTACTATATAGGGTACTAGAGACCCTAGGGTCCTATATAGTAGGTACCTGGGGGCTTAGGGATAAGTTGTGTTCATGCTCAGGAACGCAGCAGAAGCTTGGAATCGATTTCTCGGATCACCCAGGGTCTAACGATACGAATTACTAGTGTAGGGGCCTTAAAAGATTAGAATAGGGTTTGGGGTATCTCATACTATAGTTAGTAATGAGGAACCCCCCAAAACCCTATTCTAATTATCAAGGCCCCTACGTTAGGTTGAGGGCTCGGGTTCAAGCTCCTGAACCTGGCATTACGAACTGCGGCCGAGGGGGTTGGTCGCACGGAGTTCCGCTGCAGGGTAAGGTGGGTTCTGCACTCCTACTAGGGTTTAGGGTTTAGGGAGTAAGGTTCTCCTCAACATGACAACCTTAAACTTTCTCACCAAGGCTTGCAGGAGCCCGATATACACTTCTTCAAAAATACGTTGTAAAGATGTAGGATAGGGTTCAGGTGCTGCGGCCGACAGGCCTGGAAGAGTACGCAATGCAACACAACCCCTGAGGAGGCTGCGTATACAAAGACATCTGCGGCCACGACGAGGTCGAATTTGTCTGCCTTCGTCCAAGCCAAAAGCAGCACGAGACACAGTTCGGATATGCTGACAGTGATAACGATGAAGTTGCTGATGCTGGTGAGTCTTGATTGTTCTGCTCCTGTCTCTGCAGCTAGGACGGCTGCTTGCGCTTGGCACGTTGCTCCAAACAACTCTTGGTCCTCATGCCGCAGGTTGCCGACGAGGTCTGTTGCGCGGTGTGGCTAAGCTCGACAGCAACTGTTTGTCCGGACACTATATTATATAACCCTAATCCCTAGACCCTAAATACCCTAAACCATAGGGCTTAGGGCCCCTGAGCCCCAGGGGCAGACTCAGTCTATAAGGCAATACGGGCACATACACAATATCCCAAGGACCTACCTGTTTTGGAAACTTGAACGAGCTCCCAACAAAGTTTTACAGGCCGTGAGGAAAATCGACGGGCCTGGTCGTCTCCTTCGAAGATATCTACCAGGTCGCCACACACGAGCTTGCTATAGCCGCGATCCTGATGAGATGGGGGGAAGCTCCGCTTCATACATTTCACTGGTTTCTGATGCAGGAGCATGGTGGTTAATGGAGGAGAGTTCTATAGTTTATGATACAAACTATTTAGGCAAGACCATGTCTTCAGCCAATGGCCTCGTCAGATCGTGGCCGAACGTTTTGTTGCGAACTCCGACAATGAGAACGAACGTTCTTTTCTGCATGTCTGTCGGGTTTGAGCCGAAG